GTGGCAACGATTGTGAGGTTGGCCCAGGATTGGGCAGTGTTTCATTCTGTTGTGCATAGGGTCACTATGAGTCTGTACTGACTCGATGGCATCTAACAGCAACAACAACAATGTAAAGTAGGCAGAAAAGACAACAACCAAAAAATGATTTAGGATTGTTATAACCCATCTAAACAACATATTTCCTATGGACCTGAAATTTCAACAATCTGAGAAATTCACACTTCAAACAAATATATAAAAATCTTAATTAATTTATATATATGAATATTCCTTCAGACATAAGATTTATATTCATGAATAAATATGAACATGTACTTGAACAATTTTATCACAATTTTGATTTTTCCTTTTCGTCCTTTCATAGTCTTTCTCTTCTCCCTTTTAGTCCCTGTTAGCTTGAATTCTAACTTCTTGTTGTGTGTCATTGAGTTGATTTCAACTCAGACCAAACCTATAGATCACAGATCTGTTTACAGGAGCAGATCCTCAGAAGTTTTCTCTTAAGAGTCGCTGTGGGTTCAAATAGCTGACCTTTTGGCTTGCAGCCGAGGGCATAACCATTGTGCCACTAAGGATCCTATTCTAACCTAGTGTATATTACTTATTTTTCTCTGTGTTTATAAACACACATACTCATTTTCATACACACACAGTGGCAGGCCTGGGAGGACTCATTGTATAAAATGAACCATAGAATACTCACTTTTGTACATCCTCTTTCATCTAAAAATACCTATGGAAATCCTTCCAAGGCCATGGGCTGCCTAAAGAATCAATTTTCATTCTAATTGTCCTTTAATGGCTTCATAATATTTCACAGTCAAATGATTTATCTAGCTAGTCTCCTACTGATGAGCATTACTGCTGTTTCTAGGATATGTTAATATATGCTGTTAAGACTATTTTCCAAGAAGTCTGTAGTAAAGTTGATGGGTACCTCTTGCTACAAAATCCCTCCAGCTATATTCCATGTAGTCATGAGCTTTTTGATCACCACTTTATTATTTGTCTAATTTTATTAGTAATTGTGGAAAAGTATATTCTCTTCTTTAAAAAATCTATAAAGTTTTCTTTTAGCCAAGTATATACACAGTGCATAATTGATTTTGTATATGCTCTACAAATACTCAGTGTGGTGTTGTGGGCTAATGCACTGGACTGCAAAGCTGGTTTGAATCACAAGGTCACCAGTTCAAGCTCACCAGCTGCTCCTTGGAAACCCTATACAGGGTCGCTATGGGTCAGAACTGGTTCAATGGCACTTAACAACAATAACACATATTTTCTATTTGAGAGATATTATGTTCTTTCTTCTCTATGTGTGTGTTGTTGTTGTTGTTGTTATGTGTCGTGGAGTCAGTTCCGACTCATAGTGACCCTGTACAGGGTTTCTGAGTCTGTAAATCTTTACGGGAGCAGAAAGCCTCATCTTTCTCCTGTGGAACAGCTGGTGGTTTCAAACTGCTGACCGTGAGATTAGCAGCCCGATTCATAACCACTATGCTACCAGAGCTCCTTCTGTGTGTGTGTGGTGGCTGTGTGCCATGGAGTCAGTTCTGACTCATAGCAACCCTGCACAGGGTTTCTGAAGCTTTAAATCTTTACAGGAGCAGAACGCCTCATCTTTCCCCCCGCAGACCAGTTGGTAGTTTCAAACTGCTGACCTTGCGGTTCACAGCCCGATTCGTAACCACTACACTACCAGAGCTCCTTGTGTGTGTGTTGTTGTTGTTAAGTGCCGTCGAGTTGGTTCCGACCCATAGCGACCCTGTACAGGGTTTCCGACGGTGTAAATCTTTACGGGAGTAGAAAGCCTCATATTTCTCCTGCGGAGCAGCTGGTAGTTTCGAACCACTGACCTTAAGTTTCGCAGCCCGATTCGTAACCACTACGCTACCAGAGCTCCTTGTGTGTGTGTAGAAGTACATAAATATCTTATTCCATAAAAGTATACGTGTGTACACACAAATATATTTTGTTTTTAGTTTGTTTATTGGTTCTTGGTGTCACAGCAACCCGGTATAGGGTTTCCAAAGAGTGGCTGGTGAGTTTGAACTGCCAGTGGTTCAATTGACCTTGTGATCCAGTGCATTACCCTGCAGCATCATACTGAGGCTCCATTTGCCCTGTTGGGTTACTATAAGTTAGAATTGACCAGATGTCTGTTGATTTTGGTTTTGTTTGGGTCTGTGATTTTAATATACTTTTGGTACATGCATATATTCATTAATAGCAAGTTGTTTTCAGTATTTATAATATATAAGAATAGAGCATAAAATCTCCTCTCATGAATGAATTTGTCAACTGTCCTTAATGAAAGCTTTCCTTTTTTATAGATCAATGGTGTTTATGGCAAATTCATGATCATGGCGTCTTCTTGTGAAATATTTATCATTAAGGAATGTTTCTCTTCTTGAAAACCCTACACTGGGCACTATGAGTCAGAACCGACTCAATGGCACTAAAACAACAATAATATTCTTCTTCAGTCATATTGATGTTTTTCACTAAATTCTATTGCCTGGTTTTAATATTGCTCCACCAGCTTTCATTGGTTTATTTTAAACCAATGAAACATTTCAACTCTTTATTTGTAACTCTTTGGGTCATTGTATTTTAGGTATATCTATT